TCTCTATTGTAAGCTTTCCAGCATGTGACAAGTTTACTGTTACTTGGCGTGAACACTTCAGTTGATGATGAAACCCAACGCCTGACAGGATCCGAATTTCCCCGTTTTATATTAAGCTATATATTACTACAAAGGGTTAAGTGATAGTGATACACCCCCGCGCAGGTATGCAGTCATGTTTGATGGTGGGTTAAAAAGAAACAAACCAAAATGGTTGTTCGATAGAGAGTTTTTTGATGTCGTTAGTAGTTGTATGCTGACCATGTCTACTCTGTTGCAGTCTCTGTTTTCAGGCTCGAACCGTCGTCATAACGCTGTTTGGCCAAATCCAAATCCTATTTTTGAGTGTCTAGCTTCATTTGCCTGCCGTTGTAATTGTAAAGGTTCAGTTGGATAAAGTTGAATTCAATTCAATTATTCATTTATTCGGTATTTTGGACATTTGGCCCAAAGTACAATTGATTGTGACGACATAGCCGTAACACGTGACAGGAAGAACATATGTACATCTTCATGACAAGGAAAACACATGTTTCATGAAAATTGCGACAGAATTTATGGTTGGGATATTTTTTGCATTGAGAACAGATAGACTTTTTGTAATTGATACTATGTAAATATTTTGTTCTGAGATCCGCATACCTTTCACATACAAATAATACATGGTATTCATCTTCGAGAACTCCCCCGCCGTGATAGATTACAACTTGTTCAGTCCAGAACTCATACAGCAATGTTTTCATTAGTACATTTTTTTGTCTCAATACATTTACTTCGAACGAATGCAATGCAATACGTAATTTACAGAATGCACGAATCAAGGTCTCATCGCTTAGTGCTGTATGGTATAGTTCAGGCTGTAATAATGATTTGAAGGTCGAGTAATTCTTTACAAATGTGGATGTGCAAAGTGAGTCATGCCAGACCTGGGAACCTATATCACGGGATCTTTGTGTAAAAGTACTGATAAACATTTGTATGTTTCCTGCATCTTGCGCTATCAAACATCCAAACATATGTTTACCATTGTCAAAACGTCGTACTTGAGAATGTTTCGCCAGTTAAGCTGGTTTTAAATGAAGCATACTCAGACACATTATACTGGCTCCGAGCCGACCACGGACACGCTGATCGGGGATCGAACCCATGTATCGCTCTACCACGCTCTAACCACTTTTCATCAAGCTTTTTGAGGAATAAATAACACTGGTGAGGATGGCGGTGTGATTCCATTCTTAATAATTTTAACCAAAACTTTACAACACGTATTCACGTTGGATAAAGCGCCACCATTGGAGACATGTAGAAGCCGAAACATAGTTTCTCGGACTCGGACGGTCCCCAAAACAGCCTTTGAGTGAGTGAGTGAGTGTGTTTTTACGCCGCTTTTAGCAATATTCCAACAATATCACGGCGGGGACACCAGAAACGGGCTTCACACAGTGTACCCATGTGGGGAATCGAACCCGGGTCTTCAGCGTTACGAGCTGACGCATTAACCATTATGCTATCCCACAGACCCTAAAACAGCTTGGTAACTCCCATGCCTGTGACTACTTGGGTTCTTATCTCGTCCATTGGGATCCGTTGGAGATAGTTTCTGTCTGTCTGTCCACTGTGTACCTGTCTGTATGCGTGTCTATATCTTTAACGCCGCACTCAGCAATGTTCCAGCTATATGACAACGGCCAGACAATCCAGTGACTGATATCATGAACATCTTCACAATTAGAATATGATCAACCACGTCAGGGAGCATCACCGCCCAATCCAGTTAGTCGCCTCTTACCACAAGCATGGGCTGCAGCAGATTAGTTCTGATTAGAATTTCTAGAATTTTCAAGCCAAGGCATAGTCTCTCGTAGCAAAGCAAATATATCCAAAAGGCCCACGCAAGTCTAGAAACTGTGGCAAGTCTAGATTTCCTCAGCTTCTGAAAATGAAGAAAGTCTCAGGGCTCCTTTTCATTATATATATTTTTGTTTACTATGAACGTTTTTTCAGTAAAATATGTTCATTTCAGAGACTAGTTGTTAGTCTAGCCAAGGCAGTAAATGCATGGCTGTGTTCCCAAACAAAATCCACTGAAGCATGAGTGTGCGTGGTGTGCGTAAACTCTATCCTGTTGGAATTCAACCTTATCAACGACCTTACGCACAGAGTATATCACGGCTGACCTGTAAACCTAATCACGATAACAAAGCCGTGTGATTTAATAATGATATCTGATTTGTCCAATAGTTGTAGGCAACGCCAGTCGACACTGTGACGGAACCCACTGTCGTGCTGTTCAATGGTACTCAGCTGGTACCTCACTGCGCATGTCTACATGCATGTTTCCGACCAATCAAAACCTCGTAACTTTACCTGACGTCACGCCAAAGACGCACGAGGTTGCATGTCATGACGTCATTGTGCAACATCACACATCATGACACTCAAGAAGTCTTTCCTATTGTCAGCTGATGATGATCCAGATTGATTCTTTAACACTTCATGCATCCAGAACGCTTTACAGTCAGTCAGTGTTTACATCAAACAGTCTAGTGACGACGTGTTGTAACATACGCGTACAGCCTAGAGCCAACGTGTTATAACAAACGGGTACAATCTAGGGGAAACAAGTTGTAACAAACGGGTACAATCTACGGGCAACAAGTTGTAACAAACGGGTACAATCTAGGGGCAACAAGTTGTAACAAACGGGTACAATCTAGGGGCAACAAGTTGTAACAAACGGGTACAATCTAGGGGCAACAAGGGTTGTAACGGGTAACAAGTTGTAACAAACGGGTACAATCTAGGGGCAACAAGTTGTAACAAACGGGTACAATCTAGGGGCAACAAGTTGTAACAAACGGGTACAATCTAGGGGCAACAAGTTGTAACAAACGGGTACAATCTAGGGGCAACAAGTTGTAACAAACGGGTACAATCTAGGGGCAACAAGTTTTAACAAATGTGTACAGTTGAATTTCAACGTGTTGCAACAAATGCTTACAGTGTAGCATTTACAGTTGTTGCAACAAATGTTGTAATAAACAAAGGGAAACAACGCATTGTAACAAGTGTGTACAGTCTAGTATGTACACGTGTTGCAACAAGTGTGTACAGTCTAGTATGTACACGTGTTGCAACAAGTGCGTACAGTCCAAACGGACACCATGTAACAATCGTGTACAGTCTAGTACTCAGGTCTTGTAACGGACGCGTACAATAAAGCCACACACACGTTGTGTGTGTCGCTACCGATATCTTAACACGTATGTACGTTAATCGTACCGCCAAGATCTCTTTGTGTCCGAGCTTAGTAGTGAAGTACTGATTACTCAAAGTTCCGTTATTCAGTCGTCGACCCTTCAGTAATCAAATCAAATCATTTTTTCAAAGGAATACTCAACTCAGATCCTAAGTAAACTTTTTGTGTTTGCTACCACTCATATAAAGCAGTGTCAGCCATTAGCTTAATCCTTAGGCTAAACATTATTTAGTCTTTACATTAGTCCGAACATGGGAGAATCACAACCGTGAAGCCTGTACAGACGTATGGTGCGTAACTAAATCTGTTCAGTATATTAGCTTAAACCTGCGTAATCCCGGCCCATTGTAGCCGGCCAATTTGGACGTTGCTGGCAAGAACATTCAAAGATGACACTGAAATTGTATAGTTGGGCTCGATAGCACATAAATCTCGCTAAAATCTGATAAGGTCGGGACAATACGTGTTGTCTCTCACTCGGAGTGGCCATTTTCCTGTTTTGACAGGGTCATGGGGAGACTGACAATGGGAGCGAGGGCCGATTACAAGCATATCTAGATAACGGTCACGCACACTGTGTTTACGGTTTTAAGTAACCCCTCGGGGTTGAGCACCATAATTACTTCTTTGTAACCTTTACTTAGCACGTTATACCTGCATACTATAGCATTACAACATCTTAAACCCTCAAAGCCGACTGCAGGTATTGTGTGTGCTGTTGGTTTTTTACCATAGTTCTGATATGCGGTTTCGGTTTTCAGAAGCTATGCTGGAAATTAATGGTTTGTGTTGGCGTATGAATTTCTCATTTGTCTCCCGAGGACCTTTTACTTAAATTAAAAAGACCTGAAAAAAATAGAGCAAAAGGGATGGCTTCTTTGGTATTAAGTTTTCAACTGTTTCGTGATAATAATTTCAAGTACAAGCGTCTCATGGATACAAATCTGAGCGGGTTCTGTTTGCGGTGGTTTTAGAGTAATGGAGGCTGATGTGTGAGGTGAGGTTACAGATGGACGTCAGATGACGTTAGTGTGTGTTGTGGAGCAATTTATTAATAAAGAAATGTATTGCATTTTTTTCAGAAAATGTCTTGACAGAACTACTGGGCAAGCTTCCTTTAACAAGAGAAAGATCTTTGGTTCTCCATGCTCTCATCTTCTTTGATGATGGGGACACAGGTGGCCCAGTGGTCTAAGGCGCCGTAATTCGCTGTGAGGAGCTCCTTTGACATGCCAGAAGTGTAAGTCTGAAAGTGTTCCACTTCCGGTTCGCCCCGATTGGTGTTTCTAGATTTGTCAGCATCATGCCCGTGGGTTTCACGTGGGTTGTGAACCTCTGAGACTTGTTCATTTGGGGGGTTTACTTCCACGTTGAACCGGGCCGTGATGTAACTGGAATACTGTTCAAAACGGCGTGAAACACAATTCACTCACTCACTTGACCGATGTATATCACAACACTGACGTATGTATAGTGTCCTATCAGCGACAGAAGTGCGTCCGATGTTGCTGTAGGTTTGCCTTGTCCGGTGATTTCTTTGTGTGTTTGTTGTCAACACCTCGTACAGTTGTATTCCAGCTCTATGACGGCGCCTGAAAGAAGTGGACTCTGGACCTAACAATCCGGTAATTGGTACTATGATCAGCGTCCACGACACTGGACGCTGACAGGACATCGACCGTGTCACACAGCGTGTGTCCGATGGCCTTGTTGCAGTTATATAATCGATAAGTTTAAGGAAATGCGATCAGATGCAATCATCACAAGGTTAGAATGTAGAATTGATCTCTTGCAGCCCATGCTTGTCTCAAGAAGCAGCTAACGGGAGCAGATGGTCTAGCTTTCTGACGTGCTTCATGCATGTCATCGTATCTCAGCTATACAGATCGATCGATGTCACTGGATTGTCTGGTCGTGACTTGATGCCCACCAACCGCACTTCTCACGTAGCGGGGGTAATACGTCAGGTTGGTCATAGTAGACAGACTAGCCCTGATAGTAATATCCCATTACGGGCTGCCTCGATAAAATAGGTAACCACTCCCGCAGTATTTCACTTGACGACGTAAAATCGCATCTCCACATTCAAGTAAATGTAGGTGAGAATCGAAGTGAGATAATCAAAGTACAATAAACTACGGTTATCCCGAACTCTAAGAGGCCGCTAATTCTAGTTCGTCATAACCGTACGTCGTTGTAGGATTTCGTCTGAAATGTGCGTTTAGTGGCCAGGACAAAAACCACAACAAAAACCACCAAAACCCCCCAAAACTGTTCGTTATATCCGACAGTTCGTTATAGGCGGGTTCGCCATGAACATAGTTTATTGTACAAACGTTGCCTACTGCCTTCTCATTCCGTAGAGTTCATGCCAAGGTCAAGGTCATATCAGCGACATATAAAACAGCACAACATGTCGGGATTAGTCATACAGCATTAAGGAACAGCTTTCCGATTTACGATACGAAAATCGTATGGTAAATTTTCGCCAATTTGTTGATAGTGCAAATAACTTGATTTCCACCGATAATGATTGCGTAAGCAAATCCTATCACTGAATCTATTGCATCAACGGCGATCAGTTCAGCTAAATACATATACGGTTTGCCGTCTGTTTATAAAGTGCATTATCGCCCATGCATCTTCACCACTACATCCGGGCGACGTTCTCTTGTTTACATCAGCCAATGAGAAGGAGGCTTGTATATTTGTCTCGCTCAGCACCAGCGTGATGAAAAGCAGATAGGCCACAACGCTCTTTAAAAGAAACGCCTTATTCTCCATCAGAATCTTGGAATTCGACCCTGATTGGATAGATCATAATTCAATACTTGATATAAGAACTGAGTCGGGTCTCTTTATAAGGCGATAGCCCCTATCTCCCATAATGCACTGCGGCAGGACTGCACGTGTAAATGTATACATGCGCACTAAGGGATAAAGGTCGGAGGTAGAGAGTTGCGTTGTGATTCATTGCTCTGACAAGAGAATATTGTCTCTTGGCGATCTGCACAACGACAGACCGAGGCACATATGCTGCAAAAATTCGACAGATGGTTGACACGAAGTACGTTTGTGGCTTTCTTACATTTTACACATATTTCCCGAAATTACATAGAAAGTTATGACGACAGGTCGATGCAATATATTAATGGCGGAATTCCGGAGGTTCCTGTTATTCCTTTGTGTGTCTCCTAAAAATACTTGTGCAGATTGTATGAAATGACAAACGGCGTGAGGTATTGTCAGATCTTTAATGTGATTATGTCGTAGACTCACACATCAAGATAGAGGAGAAGGGCTAATTAACAATCAAAGCGCATACACGAACGGGATGTTTAAAGAAGAACTATATACGCCGCAGTTTGTCTGTTTTACAGTCGGAACCATATTATTTTCCTTTCCGCCGTGACTGGAATGCTGTAGCAATAAACGATGCGAGTTTAGATTTTCCACAGGTTCTGAAAATACTATCTCCTGGACTTCAGTTTGCTTGTAGTTTCTTGTTGCCATCAAATGATATATTATCAGAAACCAAGGGTTAGTTCAACAGTGTCTTGTCCGATCTGTGTCCATTAAGGTGCCTTGCTTCCAACATGAAGTCTTTGTTCTATGTTAGTATGACAATAATCAACACTTAGATGGATGTGAATCCTGTAAGTGTTTGTTCTATGTAAGTATGACAATGATTAACTCTTAGATGGATATGAATCATGTAAGTGTTTGTTCTATGTAAGGATGACAATGATTAACTCTTAGATGGATATGAATCATGTAAGTGTTTGTTCTATGTAAGGATGACAATGATTAACTCTTAGATGGATATGAATCATGTAAGTGTTTGTTCTATGTAAGGATGACAATGATTAACTCTTAGATGGATATGAATTATGTAAGTGTTTGTTCTATGTAAGGATGACAATGGTTCACACGTAGATGGATATGAATCATGTAAGTGTTTGTTCTGTGTAAATAAGACAATGATTAACTCTTAGATGGATATGAATTATGTAAGTGTTTGTTCTGTGCATGTAACACAATAATTAACACTTAGAATGGATATGAATCATGTAAGTGTTTGTTCTATTTAAGTATGACAATAATTAACACTAATTATCATGTAAGTGTTTGTTAACAGACAAACTGGATGTTCAAGATAGTGTTGGTGTTAACTGTAGTTCTGTGAGCTTGTTAAATGGTTTATATTTCACGCATATGTCCATCGAGATTACGGCGGCCGGTAAAAATGTTTGGACCATAGAAACCAGTGATTCATATTTTGGCCGAGTGAAGGTTAAATCAATTTGGCCGACCACCTGCATGAGTGAGTGAGTGAGTGGGTGGATGATGTTTGCATGAGTGGGTGAGTGAGTGAATAGTTATTATGTGTAGTATTGCAGTACTCCGTTTATTAAATTCTGTGTGGTTCCATGCTTGTGAAGGGGATCCTGGCAATCCGACTGTTAGATCCAAAGTCAGCATATCAATGGGATCAACGGAATAATGGATTATCAGATCTATGTAAGTGAGTCGAGTCAGTCATATCTACTCGTATGTACATTTACGGAATTCATCCCGAATGCAGGTTTTCTGGATGGTTAGGTTTTCAAGTGTGAACATTCAGTTGGATTGCATAACTGAACTGTAAATGTCAACGGGCATCAAGTGCCATTAATGTAGCATTTAACAAACAGGAAATTATAAAGAAGATGGTTTCAGTTTTAACCTGCCGTTTAAGGCAGTTATTTATGTCAGGTCACCGAGTTGAAATTTCAAGATTCTATGCTGAAATTGGACATGTTAAGTAGACGATTCAAGGTAGACGCTAAGTCGAGTTTTAAAAATAACGATTTTGAAATTTCAAGACACTAACTTGACATTTCAAGATTATAACCTCCCGAAGTATATCCATATATTGTATACGTTTCGGTATTTCGTTACTTTGACTTGAAATTTCAAAATAGATATGTTTAAGTTTGAACATATTACTTTAAGCAATCATGCAAGAATGAAAACGTACGTCATCAAAATGTTTCCGTAGGTTATAGAAGTTACTGTTATCCAATTACATTGCAAACAAGTCTCATAGAATGTAGACACGACCTTGCCGAGCCATACTATCTCAGTCTCATAGAATGTAGACACGACCTTGCCGAGCCCCGAAAGGGTGACAGTCTCAATTCCATCTTTCTCCTCACACGTCCTCTCTAATATACGTGCAGTTGTGGCATGTAATTGCCCAAGTGGGGTATTTTCGAAGCAAAATGGTCCAAAATGAGGCATTTTTTGTAATTTTGATTAGAATACTATCACTCAATGGATTGGCTGACTGCGTCAGAATTGTGTTATCAATCAAACCTCTCGAACATGTGTTTTTCAAACGGACTTCAGCGTCTAAAAATCTAATTTTTTCATCGATTTTACAACAGAGCTACGTATTGTTTTTCGCAAAGTTTTCAATCAATTTCAGCTACGTCTGTGAAAAAACAGTTCGTGCTGTTGGCTATTGTATTTTCAGGCGCGTTTGATCCGAGGTCAATTTGTTTTCTTTCCATTTGCAAGGATATCGTTTACCATTGTATTTACAGACGAGAGTTTAATAATGTTACGCAGACATGTTAATTTTCCTTTGCAATAAATCCAATATGGTGGTTCCGGCTGAAGAACCGAGTTCCGTGTCACAGCGGTCAATCGTAGTCGAGGCGTTTATACAAAAACTGACTGAATCAGAATCATCTGAATTCTGTTAAACTCAGGTTTTCCGGAAACTTTCGAAAAGATCCTGTTTATAGACTTCTTTCAAAGTCAATGAGCTTGATAACTGGGAGCTTTTCACAAAGGAGATGTTTATTCTCGAAACAACTCGATTGCCCTTCGGGTGATTCCGTTTAAAATCGGAAGTGAATAAATGTTTTTATGAAATATGTACACATAAACTTCTTTTGTTGTGTTAAATGAATGTACAGGCTAAAGGATTTGATTCAAAATATTATGCACTTTGTGAAGCCAGGTCTTCATGTTCGCAGCCACGAGATTGGATATTCAATTTCTGCAAACGATGAGTCCCAAATTTCTCTAACCTCTTTTGTGTAATATACATGTTGCTTTATCAGAATCACGGTACTTCCATCAATGAACGTAGAAAAAACACGGTCTCGCGGTACCCATAACTACAGTCACCCACTACTACGGCTGACAACAATCATGAGCTTCCTCCATCTACATCCGTCTGTGAGATGCACAAAGTGAATTTCGGTTTCAGCCTCAAAGAAAGATTCACTTTATCACGTCAACCAGAATCTAAATGGACGTTGATAAATCGGAAAGTCGTAAATAACAACACGATGGCACTGAATGATCTACAGAGGGAAAATCAATAGCAAAAAGCCTTTATTCGCCTGCCAAGTCATATAACAGGCTAATATTGAGGAACAGTTCATTAAAGATGCACACACACAGACAGGCAAGGACAGAAAAGCGGACACACACAAAGACATACAACCACACACATAAAGCACGCACGCACACACGCACACCTGTGTATATAGCGAAAACCTGGACCTATCTTCTCCATGGACCCATGTGACTGGGGGGCCATTGCCAGTCTCAGCTTCCTGTCTAACCCGAAAACCTAATAAGAAAGTAAGATTGTTTATGGATAACAACTTCTTTTATTATATACTGAGTCAAAAAAGAAACCTCACATTCTTTCTTCAGGGCACTATAAAAGAACAAGGGATGGTAAGATGGTTAAATTGTTATTATTTCATTGCTGAGATATGTGTGATGTACACGATACACTGACAGTGCCATAATCAGTTCCATTAGGCTACACCGCCGTTCCAAAACATGGGTATACAGAATGTCAAGTCACAAGAATAAAAATGCGAAATTTCTCAGTTCAATATCGTGTATGGCCGCCCCGCGCATTCACCACTGCCAAACACCGTCTCCTCATCGACTGCCTGATGCTTGTGAACACGTGGTTGGGGATTCTGCGCCATTGCTCTTGCAAGGCAGCGCCAAGTTCCTGCAAATTCTGAGGTTGGTTCCTAAGACCACGAAGCCTTCTTCCAAGTGCATCCCAAACGTGCTCTATTGGATTAAGGTCAGGGGACCTCGATGGCCAGTCCATGACTTTGATTCCAGCGTTTTGAAGGAAATTTCGTGTCAACATCGCGGTATGCGGCCGAGTATTATCATGCTGGAACTGTAGACCTGGGCCATGAGCCGCCATGAAAGGAACGAGTTTAGGGGTGAGCACCTGGTCGCGGTAAGCAGCAGCTGTGAGGTTTCCACGGATGACCAGAAGTCGGGAACGGTTGTTCCCACAGAAAGCACCCCACACCATGCAACTTCCGCCCCCGAATCTGTCGACTTCCTGTACACAACATTGGGCATACTGTTCACGACGTCGTCTCCAGACTCTATGCCTGCCGTCCGCGAATCTGAGGGTAAACCTGGATTTATCGCTAAAGACGACTCGATTCCAGTCTCTCTGGGTCCATCGGAGGTGACGTTGGGCCCACAGCAGACGTTGACGTTGATGGAACGGCGTCAATATTGGCCCACGATATGGACGTCGAGAATGGAGATTGGCAGCCCACAACCGATTTCGAATGGTCTGTGAGGACAGTCGACCTCTAAACAATTCAGCCCTTGTTCGTGTAGCCGGCAGAAATCTGTCACGTAGGTGACGTAGGACGATTTGACGGTCTTCTGCTCGTGACGTCACACGTGGACGACCCGGCCTTGGGCGATCAGAAGTGGTGCACATTTGACAATCTTGGCATTTCAAGTACCGTTAGAACTGTGGTTTAAAAGTGTTTTCTCAATTCTTGAGGCCAATGCAAACACGTGCATATGAAGAAAACTTCGATGCGAAGATCACGCGATCGACTGCACGTGCAAAACCTGATTTGGCACTAACGTCATTTGCACGACGAATGGATGGGTTTGAGTGGGTAAGATAGGGATCCCATTTCGGATACATAGATGTATCATCAGAGAAAAATAATTCATTATTTTAAATTACATTTTGTGAAGTTTCTTTTTTGACTCATTATATATGATGCGACGTTTCGGTATGGATTCTTATACCGTTGTCAAGCAAGAGTGAAGTACTGCAGCACAGAACAGAATTATATACATCAACAGGGATTAAGTAATAACAACATGTAGGTATGAATCAAGGGGATTAACAACAACAACAAGGCACGGTGGTAATAATGTAGTGACAATAGGAGGAAGCCAATGGTCCTAGAGGCAGAAACAAAATATAGACAGACAGACAGACAGATTTTATTCAGTAATATTGGCCAACTGGCCCATGTTACAATTGTTGTTACAACACTTTTGTTGTCACGTCGTAAGAAAATAGAAAAGCTATATTTAAACACTGTTTCAAACATTTTTGGAGAATACACATTTCAGAAATGTTGCTATTGCTTTAACGGTATGTCTATTTTGTGAATTAAATAAATTTATCATTTGGGATTTACATACATATTTGCCATCGAGAAATCTTAAATACTTTATTCTCAAATCATTAAATTCTGGACATTGTAGTAAAATATGAAATTCATCCTGGACTTGTCCGCTGTTACAATGGTTACATAAGTGTGCTGTCTTTCAGCATCCTTATTTCGTCTGGTTGCATTTACATTCAAATTATGTAGAGAAATTCGGACTTTACAAAATACCTTCAGTAACGTCTTATCATGAAACAGGTATGTAATATACGCTTCAGGGTAAAATCCTAATTTTACAAGACTATAATTTCTTAAAAAATGTGAAGCTTGTACATTTCCTCGCCAATTTTGGACAGAAATATCAACTAATCTTTGCTTGAACACATACAAGAACAATTTTTCATCTCCAACATTTTGGTATAACCATACGTGTGAATACCCACAGGCAAACAGTAAGAGACGGATATCTGAAACCCAGTTCCTTTTACCTCTGTCATCCAGTTCTTTCAACATGTTATAACATTGATGTGGATATCTGTTTACACCCATTCTAACCAATTTAATCCAATATTTAACAGCTCTGTGTCTACTTAAAACAAACATATTGGTACGACCAATTTCGCCTAATATTGCCTTATTCGATGCGAATTTCCCAACACACAAGAAACGTTTGAAATAGGATGTTTGCACCTTTTCAATACAGTCATGATATTTAAGGCCCCATATTTCCGATGCATACAACAAAATAGGTGCAATTTTACTATCGAAGATATTACATGCTGTCGAAAAAGACAAGAACTTGTTGTTATGGAACAGTCTGTATACAGGGAAAACAGCTTTAGAAGCCTGCAATGCAAGAGTACGACACGCTGTTGACCAAACCAGCCTGGATGAGAAAATGATGCCTAAATATTTATAATACGATACAATTTTTAATTTTATACTACCAAATGTCCATTGTTCATTTTTGGCAACTATTCCCCCGTTTCTGAATACGACTACATTTGTCTCATCCAAATTTAATTCCCCATTTAAAACAAAATGAATGCAGGACATTTAATTGCCTTTGCAAATTTAGAACAGTATAGGAAAATAGAACAACATCATCGTCAAACAGAAGCAGTATAATATTAATTATATCCTGAGATACAAATATACCTTGGGGACATTTTTCATACAGTTCATGTCCTAATTCATTTATGAAGAAAATGAAAAGAATGGGGGGGACAAAATATACATGGCTGATGAGATTAATTAGCAATGATAGCTGGAGTGCTCTAATCTGTTGTTTTTATCAGTTCATTGTATGCAGAAGGGATGGGATATCCCTGGTCTCTGTTGATTGAGGGCTTCTGTCTACCAGGGATAACTCATCCCTTCTGTATACAATGAGCTGATAAAAACAACAGATTAGAGCACTCCAGCTATAAAAATCCACAAGACCCCACTCAAGGCCAGACTGCTTGTGTGCTCTAGAGACAATGTGTTCTACAGCACCGCCCAACACCTAACGGAAATCCTTGCCCCACTCGGAAAAACAGCGGACTCCTTCATCTCTGACTCCACGGATTTCTGTACCAAACTCCTGAAAATAACCGAAGCAGACCAGATCCTGAGTTACGATGTTGTGGACCTCTTCACAAGTGTCCCCATAGATGAAACTCTCCAAATCCTCCGCCGACGCATCTCTGAATTAGAAACCCCCCTTGACACCAACCTCACCGCTGACTCCATCATTGCCCTGACCTCTGCCTGCATCACCTCCACTTACTTCACCTGGGGAGACGACTACTATGAACAAATCTCCGGCCTGCCCATGGGCTCCCCTCTGTCCCCAGTACTCACAGAACACTACATGACCTCCTTCGAACAGCAAGCACTTAGCACCTCAACCAACAAACCAACCTGCTGGTACAGGAAGGTCGATGACACGCTTGTCATTCTTTGTCAAGACCAAGATCCAGCAGCCCTCCTGCAACACCTCAACCAACAGCACCCCTGGGTCCAGTTCACCGTAGAAACAGAATCCAATGGTCAACTTCCCTTTCTAGATGTCCTCGTAACCAGAACCCCAGCTAACAAGATCCAAACCAGTGTCTATAGAACGCCAACCCACTCCGACCAATACATTCATTTTGACTCCAACCACCCCTTGAGAACCAAAACTGGCATTATCTCCACCCGCACCAGACGACCCATCAACCTCTCCTCCACCAGTCCCACTACAGAAATACAGCACGTCCGCCATGTCTTCACCAAGTTCAACCACTACCTGTCAAAGCTAGTCGATGAACTTATCAGCTCCACACTCCACCCAACAAGAAAACCGGCCTCCAACAAACCTGAACCAGCACATATTCGTATCTCCCTCCCCGTCATAGGAAAGACCTTCCACCACATCAGCCGTCTCCTGAAGCGACAAGCAGGCATCGAAACCTACTTTACCAGCTCTACACCGCTGAAAACCTTACTGAAAGCTAATGGCAGGAACACCTCTAAACGACAACATCAACCCAAAGGTGTTGTCTACAAAATCAACTGTGACTGTGGCGAGGCCTACGTAAGCGAAATCTCCCGGCCTATAAATATCAGAATCAAATAACACTTATCATCTACCACTAAATCTGACAGAAAATCAGCAATATCAGACCACATCATCAACTGTCCCGATCACAACATAATTTGGGACAACGTAGAGATATTATCGAAAAACCACCAGGACTTCACCAAAAGAAATCTTGCAGAAGCAGTTCAAATCCGGAGACACTAGCCCTCAATCAACAAATACCAGGGATACCTTCTGCATACAATGAACTGATAAAAACAACAGATTAGAGCACTCCGGCTATCATTGCTAATTAATCTCATCAGCCATGTATATTTTGTTTCTGCCTCTAGGACCATTGGCTTCCTCCTATTGTCACTACATTATTACCACCGTGCCTGGTTGTTGTTGTTAATCCCCTTGATTCATACCTACATGTTGTTATTACTTAATCCCTGTTGATGTATATAAATAAGTCTGTTCTGTACTGTAGTACTTCACTCTTGCTTGACATCGGTATTAGAATCCATACCGAAACGTCGCATCATATATAATAAAAGAAGTTGTTATCCATAAACAATCTTACTTTCTTATTAGTCACCAACTTCTAAATGCCAACCAAACAGACCTTAAACCTAATCCTAATTCTAATCCAAACTCTATTCCTAGCACTAGAAATAGTTCTAGTCCTAATCCTAACCCTAGTTCTGTCCCGAACCATAATCCAAACCCTAGCCACAGCCCTTGTCTTAACCCTTCCCCAACCCAAACCCTAGCCCTTGTCTTAACCCTTCCCAACCCAAACCCTAGCCACAGCCCTTGTCTTAACCCTTCCCTTTTATGTAAAAAGGAAATGGTCAAGCAGAGTGTGCCAAACCCTAGCCACAGCCCTTGTCTTAACCGTATTGGTTTTCTTATCCCCAACCCAAACCCTAGCCACAGCCCTTGTCTTAACTCCTTTTTTATCCCCAACCCAAAACCTTTAGCCACAGCCCTTTGTCTTAACTACTTCCCAACCCAAACCCTAGCGGAATACCGGAAGATGTCCAGCTAACTATGTGTGGGCAAATGCCCCAACCTAAATTCTGTATAGCCACAGCCCTATGTATAACTGTTGTACCCCCTGTCCCCAACCCATTTCTGTTGTATCATGTGCCACAGCCCCATATGCCTTTGTACCTTTATGGAGGAAACCCAAATATCTAGCCATCAGCCCTTGTCTTAACCTTTTCCCAACCTTTCTTAAACCCTAGCCACAGCCCTTGTCTTAAACTCTTCCCCAATCCAAACTCCTATCCACAGCCCTAGTTATAGTCCTAATCCTAACCCTAGTTCTGTCCTGAACCATAATCCAAACCCTAGCCACAGCCCTTGTCTTATAACACAGCCAAAACCTGTCTTTAACCCCTTCCCCAACCCAAACCTTAGCCACAGCCCTTCTCTTAACCTCTTTCCCCAACCCAAACCCTATCCACAGCCCTTGTCTTAACCCTTCCCTAATCCAAACCCTAGCCACAGCCCTTGTCTTAACCCTTCCCCAACCTAAACCCTAGCCACAGCCCTTGTCTTAACCCTTCACCAACCCAAACCCTAGCCACAGCCCTTGTCTTAACCCTTCCCCTAACCCAAACCCTAGCCACAGCCCTTGTCTTAACCCTTCCCCAACCCAAACCCTATCCACAGCCCTTGTCTTAACCCTTCCCCAATCCAAACCCTAGCCACAGCCCTTGTCTTAACCTCTTCCCCAACCTAAACCCTAGCCACAGCCCTTGTCTTAACCCTTTCCCCAACCCAAACCCTAGCCACAGCCCTTGTCTTAACCCTTCCCCAATCCAAACCCTAGCCACAGCCCTTGTCTTAACCCTTCCCCAACCCAAACCCTAGCCACAGCCCTTGTCTTAACCCTTCCCCAACCCAAACCCTAGCCACAGCCCTTGTCTTAACCCTTCCCCAACCCAAGCCCTAGCCACAGCCCTTGTCTTAACCCTTCCCCAACCCAAACCCTAGCCACAGCCCTTGTCTTAACCCTTCCCCAACCCAAACCCTAGCCACAGCCCTTGTCTTAACCCTTCCCAACCCAAACCTTAGCCACAGCCCTTGTCTTAACCCTTCCCCAACCCAAACCCTAGCCACAGCCCTTGTCTTAACCCTTCCCCAACCCAAACCCTAGCCACAGCCCTTGTCTTAACCCTTCCCCAACCCAAACCCTAGCCACAGCCCTTGTCTTAACCCTTCCCCAACCCAAACCCTAGCCACAGCCCTTGTCTTAACCCTTCCCCAACCCAAACCTAGCCACAGCCCTTGTCTTAACCCTTCCCCAACCCAAGCCCTAGCCACAGCCCTTGTCTTAACCCTTCCCCAACCCAAACCCTAGCCACAGCCCTTGTCTTAACCCTTCCCCAACCCAAACCCTAGCCACAGCCCTTCTCTTAACCCTTCCCCAACCCAAACCCTAATCCTAACTTTAACTTTAGTCGTGAGCCTATTAAATCCTACTGCTTAAACCTAAGGGATGTTTCTGTATAACTCAGACACCTCACTCGAATCATCGAGACAAAAGTAAACAATCTTTGCAAGGCAATAAACGTTATTCCAGTCGGTGGTATATATTGTTCTGTTGAATAAATCTGATCCTGTTTATTCAGCTCCATCCATCATCTTCCGTTTAACGGCCATATATACACAGAAGAATACTGAACCAGAAACATTCTCTGAAAACATTCCGCATCACTGGCTGCTGTTGATGATGTTGGGAAACGTACATAATCGCCTTGGCAACGTTGTACGCGAATTACACTTCTTGTCTGTTACAGAAATAAACTTGTCAGGACTCACACTTCAAAGAACGTAAGAACCATTTTAAAGTTATAGTTCATAATATGTTGAATTTGAAATATGTTTTTGCTTTATGGGACTATTCACTAAGCCTCTAGTGTAGGGCCTGCTTAACTGTTAGTTAGTCTCCATTCACTGTGGGGCTTCACCTCACTCACTCAAGTACCTGATGGCGTCTGGTTGCCAGGATCAAGTGCTGCTCCGGCGTCTGGTTGCTAAGGGCAACTTACTGGGTATCCATTGGCTTGGTCTGCCTGACAGTCCCGGCACCACATAACCTCCCTTCCACCAGCCCTTACTGTAGTTCGAAAGCCTTCAAATTATGAATAAAACCCTCCCGGGACTCCATATAAATTTAAATGGAATTCTGTGTTACTATGAAAAATATATGTTTTCAAGGACTGAGCGCAAGTCTGGCACTGGTTCTGTTTCTGTCTGCAACATACAGCTGAATTCTGCCGTGACGTATGGGGCAGTACATCTCCCGCAAAATTACATTACACAGCTATTGGAATTAATTTAAACTGCCATTTAGCTTCTCCATTATCGATGGTGCAATTGTTATTGGATTACGTTCTTGCAATGTAACGCCGTGTATTTGTGTGATATAGTTTGATATTGGATCAAAGAAAGGGGGGGGGGGGGGGGATTGGGAATTACGGAATGTCTGCTTCAATATGTCGGTACGTGTCCATATTGTAATGTTTGACCAGATGGTCTCTGGTTTGACCTATCATTTGTCGTTTTTTCCCGTCCTATCCTGTAACAGAAGATATAGCATCATGAATACAAATTTCTTCGAAGTCCGTCTCAGATTTTTTTCTGCATAATGTTACATTACCAAAACATGCTAAAATAAATGTCCGAGCTTAACCCAATTTAGAAATCTGCTTTCCTAAAATACGATATTCTCCAACCAAATATAGCGTGCTACAAACACGTCTGTTTACAAGGATTGAGAAGCCCCACCCCCTGTCCCCCTTACCAGGATCCCCGGCTGCTAGTTGTACGCTTCATGTAACCACGTCATCACAGTTACTACGTTAGTTGTACATTATTCAGTACAACAGAGACCTAATCTGACAATACGACGTCCTATGACAGAGTCCAGTCTCGGACCACGTCATCCTGTTGGCACTGACCGTTGCTGTATGTCGATCCAAATTTAGTTTTGCTTTTAGGCGCCCTGACAAATGGACTTAAACCAAATATTTATGTCTGCTTAAATTTGTTGGCGGACACTTGTCGATATTTAGTTATCATCGTGTTCTATGCTTGAAGAAATGGCAATGTAATTTCTTTATTTCAGAAATATATCAGAATATGGAGCAATATGGCTTATTATATTAATATGCTTATATGGATTTCCTGTTTGTTACATATGTCTTTGGATTTATTGTTCATTTGGCTATAAAGCAAATATTGTTTGATGAATATGCCGGAATATGAATTTCTTGTTTGAGGAATATTGAAAGGGCTATCATGGTACTGTAGCCGAAAGACATACCTCCCTTCTCATCTTAACATATTGGTGATGTCATAGCGCTACGTGCGGGTGTGAAAGAGCCCGTAAAGTAATGGACATAAATATACGCATGGAACAAACTATCGCAACACCTATCATATAAACCCTTATATAACCGTTTATATTTATATACATGTAATAATTTATGCGCTCGGTACATTGATTTTAGGGGAAACACCTGCTACGATCAAAGACGACCATCACGTGCAATACGTGATCCAATCATTAAGCAAATATTGTGTTTATTATGTTTAAGTAAACTGTTCTTACAGATCGATAACAATTGATTTCGTTGTTTATTGACAAATATGGGGCCTCCTCAACTGACAACTGCTCAAATGTATTAGTATACATAATGCTGATTGGTTTTTTTTGCAAGTGATGTGTCATCCATCGGCCAGTAAGCATCAGTAACTGATGACGTTAAGGACCGCCAGCGTTCAGGTCGACCAAGAGTGGCAGCTCCGAGGGAGAATACAGCCCTTCTGAGTCACAATACTTCTTCCATGCATGTCAAGCGGTATGTTATGTTTGTCTAACAGAACGGTCCGACATCGCCTGACATTGGCCGGGTATAGAGCCAGACAACCTGTCAAACGTTTCCAGAACACAAAGTAGCAGGACTAGTTTGTTTTGGGCGCCGCAAAAATGAAACATTTTGGAGCAAGCACCGTTTGGCGGGTGTTCTTTGATTGTGTGGGGCCGCTCACATGACTGTAAACTTGACCCTGTGACCATCAGGCAAATTCTGAACGGTTCATCACTGCTATCCCAGATGGGGTTGTTGTACCACATTTCTATGACCATCCTCTGAACACAAGGCCAGTCTTCATGGACGACAATACCAGGCCAGATAGTATTACGTCACTAGTAGGTTATAGCAAATCTACCTCGTCCCGCCAGCAGTCGAGGTCTTAATCCAATGGATTATGTTTGGGACATATGACTTTCAGAATACTCCAGAAAGGTCCTCCTGTACAAACTGTATTGGAACAAACCCTCCTTCAAGATTTAAATGCAAGACCTCAACGTCAAATTCAACTTCTGATACAGTTAATGAGGAGGAGGGTCCGTGATGTAAAAGAAGTTGGCGGGGGTTACGCGACATTTTGACATTGTGTTCTTCTATTTATACGCTTGTGGTTCCTTGAGGTTTTGTATGCCAGAATGTCTTGAAGACAATTATCAGCAATACGACATAAGCCAATTTTCTCACGTTTCCTTCTCTATACAGTTTGTCGTTCTTTTTTAGTTTAGATCTGCCATTTACTTATTCCTTTAATGATCAGTTTAACCAAATATTACCATAAATTGAGATTTGGGTATGTTCTTTTGCCATGGTTAATGGTAACATAAGGACATTAAGATATATGTCAGGTGTTGCGATACGTCTTTCCATGTGCATATAAAAAATACTGCTTTTCGTAATTGTTCCAGGTTTGCTCAATATGTCTGCATGTTTAGGTCTACGTCTTGGAAGAAAATTCTGGGTTCCGTGCTGGAACGGTCTGAGACGGTTAGACTCAGACCTACCCATGCATTCGCAAAACAGAAGACCATTGACTCTTCGAAGGTGCTATCGAGTATAAAACACTAAATATAATAACCTTTGTCTCACATAAGAGCTATCAATGCACACGCGGTTAAATAGAAAATTAAATTGTACTAAAACGATCAACAGGAAAAGAACATCATATTACTTCATAGATTCTTCTCATGCAGATAAAAGAGGAATAATAGCCTTGCTATGTCACGCATCCCTATAAAGAGAAACGGGCCCTTTGAAAACGCAGAAGAAATGAAACTACTCTCCTCCATCCTCCAAGATCTCAAATACAGATACAGAACTCGTGTCGGACCATGATGCAAAAATAATTAGGATTAATCACGCTTGGCTTTGATGAACGGAAATTGAGCGATGGTATCTGTCATTCTCGCTTCCGTAAAGCATGACGGGAAGTACATACAAGAGGTACGTTTCACAATGATGAATGGTACTTAATATTGGGAACGTCATTTTTGGTGCTTTGAGTACCGGTTTGAAAGATTTGATCTTGATTTGACGTGTCTCTGTTTATCTGCCAATTTCCCGGTAAAGTGGCGGCGTGTGTTTTCTTGGCCAACAAACACATGGAGTGGTTATTTGGGCGATAAAGATATTCGTTTTCAATGTGCAGCCATGATAGTAAACTAGGAACCGAATGTATAGTTCTCTATTTCCCTGTCACTCTGAACAGCTCTCTTTTAGCAGATTCCTATCGTGTGTCTGCCCAAGTCTCTTGAGATCCAGGAACTTCCTGGCAAAGGAAAATTGGATTTGACCAAAATCTTACAAACTTTCTCAAACTTTAGAAATCCGTTGCCGAAACACTACAGACGTAAGGTCCAAACCACAACTATGATATTCTTATCGGGATACATCATCACGGAAAATATAACAATTTCATATGTTCATATTTCTTGATTTACAGGCCATCAAGTATTGGTCTATGTTTTGTTATGTCTTTTGCTTTGTACTGTTGTCACCTACATCGTTGTAACCACGACGCCGCATGTTGCAATTGTACCCTGTAAGTGTAGTATTATTTAAAGTACCGGTTAATTTGGATCAACTTTCAGGGCGATGCAGCTGTCGTATCAATGTTTCAATGAAAAGTGGTTACTTTGATTTGAAACCTCTGTTTGACTAACATTAATTTTAACATTGAAATTGTTGTTAACATCTCTTTGTACATTATTATTGCTGTTGTTGCTGTCATACTTATTATAACAACAACAACAGCAGCAGCAGCAGCAAAAGTACCATTGTTCCCGAATGGTGCACCGCCACCTAAATAATTAAGGAAGATATGCAGTAGAATCCCGTTACCTGAGGCTTGGGCTTATTGTGTTTGTAGAGGCAAGGCTTTCCTTCAATCTATATTCAACAGTGTTCTAACGTAAAAAAATATGATGAACATCTTCCGCAAGTTACAGCGCAAAACAGTCGGAGGAAGACAAATGACAAAATATATCTTCTGTTAAAATGTTATGAATAAGCGAAGAAAATTACGAATGCCTAAACTCTCTGGATTTTTTTCAGATTTTTGGTGACGAATCAGACAATTTTATTTTGAATTATTTATTTATTCTATGAATGGTTGTTTGAGGAATGTATACTTACACACAGTGTGCCTGGCCTCATGTCGTGGTTGTCAATGCTGACCTGTCAGTTGATTGTCGGTGGGTATTCAGGTGAAACTGTGGAGCGCTACTCACGTATCGACCTGAATTAAAATACATGGCCTCGATGCAGTAGCTATATCAAATCCACTACAACTGAACGTCAATTAATGTTACTTACCCTTCTCCAGTATCCATTTGATACTACTACTGCTACTACTACTACTACTACTACTACTACTACTACTACTACTACTACTACTACTACTACTGCTGCTGCTACTGCTACGGTATGGTTCCCGTAACTTGCTCTTTTTTTCTTGGATTCAACTCGAAAAATAATATACATAATATAAATTTCAGAAATTTCACTTCTAAAAAATCGCGTATCCAGTAATTCACTGTAAATCATTTGCTATGTATTATTCTGTTTAATACTATACACTGCATATCTGATGCTTCTCTCCACCCCCTAGGGCCCGGGGCTCACTGTAATTAAATGGTCCTGCTTCAGATCTGTAGAACCTGCCCCAGAACACTGCAATATTTAATCCTGGTTGTACACCCATTGCCCGCTTTAATGGCCAGGA